GTTTCCAAAACACTGATTGAATTCCAGGAGAATTTGGTATGCAGGTCTTGAGATTTCGATGAAATTTAATCACACGGCATAACCATACTCACTGCACGGACCATACTTTAGCAAATGCTAAAGGGGACCCAAGAAAGGATAAAATATACCTTTAGCCTTTAAGAAGATCTCAGTTTAAGATATTATGTATGAAGAAATTAGATAAAGATATATTATAAGACAACTTGATAAACACTACAATAATGGAACTTCCTTTCATCAGTTAAAAATCTGAGGATCAAAGACGTAGTAAAACCTGACAATTATTAAACAGACAATTGATATCAAAGCCAAGAGTACAACAAATTTCCCATTGCTAACTATAGGATTCTTTCTACTTACCTACACCTCTTGGGTGTATTTTTAAAAAAAATCAAAATCCAGATCCAAGTTGCCTTGGTTGGCATCTGTCGCTTAGCAGTAGAACCTTGCCTATTGTAAATGGAAATCACAAAATTAGAAAATGTGGACTAACAAGCATGCTTCTCTTTTGGAAGTATTTTTAATTAGGTTGGATCAATAAAGCTTCTGAGTTTTTAAATTAGTAGTGGTTTAACAGGTAAGAATCTTGCTGCTTAAGAATTCAAATGACAGTAGCCAATGTGCTGCATTTCCACTCTGCCAGGAGCAGTGGCAGCTGCTTCATGAATCACAGCTTGAAGCCTGGGAAGTCCAAAGTGTAGGTGCCACTGTGACCCCTATTTTAATGAAGGAGGGAGCGTGTTTAAAATCCCAGGAGACTGGAAGGACTGAGCTTTGAACCCAGGAGGTCTGTCTGTACTGCTAGACCCCTCAGCCACTCTGGGAAAAGCTAGGACTTAAGGGACAATTGATTGTTGGTACTAAAGACAAACTACTGTTTTCTTTAATTAATTAATCCACATTCCAGTACCAAGTTGACAGGAAGTAAAAAGTGAGCCTCAGCTCTGGCAAGCTGACACCCAGCCTCACTTACTTCTCAGAACAGTCTGGGAACCAACGCCCTTGCGCAGGTGGGGGAATGGCGTTGGGAAGCTGGGCGCATGTCCAAAAGTTGCAGCGCTGGCTGGAGCAGAACTCCTAAATGCTCTCACTTTCTTGGCCTGTAATGTAGGGAATGAAATCAATATAGAGCAATGTTATGGTTAAGATCTAGAATGTTCCCCCAAGTTGCATTTGTGAAGGTGATGGAATGGTGGGGACGCTGTACTCCTCTGTGGATTCATTCACTGATGAGTTCGTAGCTGAACATGCCATCGGGCGGCACAGCCCAGCCGGGGAGGAGGTGGGTGCTTGAGAGTGTGACCCGGAAAGTCTTGTCCCTGCCTCCTCCCCTCCCTTTCTGCTTCCTGGCTGCTGTGGGATAAGCCGCTGTCTTCTCCAGGCCCATCCACCCTGCATTTCTATCTTGGAGCCAGCTGACCACGGCCAAACTTACCCCTGAGGGTGTTGAATATTATGTCCCAGTGACAAGAAAGAGACCAATACCAGCAATGAGCACAAAATGAAATTAGTTTGAAGGACTAATATTGTTTCAAAATAATTTGAGTCCTTTGAATTCATTTCCCCCTATTCTTATCATATGAGGTATTATAAAACAGGAGTGAGAATAAAGGCAGTGCTACATTTCTTGGCTCATTCTGTCATTTCAGCTTGACCAGGTGTTACTTGAAGATGTTTTACCTGTGCAAGAAGATGACTCTTTAATGTCTTCTCATCCAGTGGTTGTTTCGGTGTCAACCCCTGCTGAAATCACATCTGTTTTTGACGGAATATCCTACAGCAAGGTGGGGAACATAAAGCATTGTTCTGAACATCTCTCAACTTATTGACGTTTCTTCCAGTAGATGCTTAAATATGGTGAGAGTGGTGCCAGAGGAGCTCTGGAAAACACTGTAGAACTTATTGCCAGTGATGGATATTTAATAGTCTATGCTTTTCACAAGAACTGATTAATATTGGTCATTGCTGGGGCCGGGGAGATGGCTCTGTGGTCTAAGCGCCTGCCGGGCAAGCACAAGGACCTGGGTTTGACCCCTGGTACCACATGCCATGCTGGTCCCATGCCATGTCAGCCACCAGGCATGGTGATGCCCTCCTGCAATCCCAGTGCTGGGGAGGCTGAGACAGGAGGATTACTGTGAGTCTGAGCTGCATGGTGAGACCCTGTACTAAAGAAGTAAATAAATAAAGATTAAATATTGGTTATTGCCATATGATTTTGAATCCAATTTTTAAAAATTTCTCTTTCTACCATTTTGTTCTTTTATTTTTTGTTTTTTCATTTTCTTCTTTTCTTTTTTGCTGGTACCAGGGATCTAACTCAGGACTTTGCGCTTGCCAGTCAAGCACTTATTCCACTTAGCTATCTTCCCAGCCCTACCTTTTTGTATAACTGCTTTCACTTTGATAAGTCAACATGTAAAGTTTAAGGGTCAAATTTAAATTGTTTTCCTTAATGATAATAAATCTTATTTCTCTGTTGGGCAGGGGGGATGGCACAGTGGAATAAGCGCTTCCCTGGCAAGCGCAAGGGCCTGAGTTCAATCCCC